TTTTACATCAAAATACATGAAGAACTAACTACATATTAATTACTCATTTAAAATTTTGGGACAAGAATTAAATTTTAAAATTTTGGGACTAGTTCGTACGCATTTCAATTAAATTCAATCTTGATGGTAAAAAGTTTTGAAGCGCTCTATAATTCAATTTACTTATATTACTTAGATTATTTATAATATTAACAAAGTATACTTATTTAAATATTATACTAATTTTTGTTAATTCTAATATTAATTTATAAAATTATTCAGTCTGTTTTTTTTTCTAAGATTTTTGCGATTTATTAAAATTTTTCATCGCCTATCATTTCATATATATTATCTGAATCTTAATATTGTATTATCATCAAAACATATAATATGCCCCTCTAGAAAAAACATTAAAAACAAAATGTAAATTCATGACCAATATTATCAAATAATGAATGAATTGAAGAAATTTTGCTTTCAAAATATAACTATATATATTACATCATTTATGGTAGTTAGATTTTAATTATTATGAAAATGTGATGAGGGCAATACAATCAATACAATTCCAGTACCCTGTTTTCCGCATAAACATAAAAATATACATCAACAATCGAATTCTTAAAATTTAATTATATAAGCTTTAAGCTCTTGTGGAATGATATGCCATACACATTAAACATTATCCATTAAATAACTATATCTTTATAAATATTATCATTTGAACCCAAAACTACCAAAATTTGGCCAACAAGTTGATCATATCACGACAAATCATATCTAGCTAATAAATTGTCTAATTAACTCTTCTTTAATTTTCTATTTATCCTACTATTAATATTGCGCACATTATCATTGCTTATTGTTTTCATCGTCCAATATCATATAAATAATGAACACTTTTAAATAAATGCTTTGTAATAAATAGAATCTTCATAATAAATAATTTTATAATAATTTAATATAATATTTTTCTAATATCCAATGATTTTTAATTGAGCATGCAAGTTCTGTTAAACACCATTATTAATATCTCACACTTTAGATCTAATAAAATGAATATTTTTATAGATCAAATAGTCAAATGGTATAGAAATTTGTTTTATATTTTATCAATAATCAGTAAAGCCAGTAGTGGCATTTTATACATATTATTTTTTCTATTCCATTAGTTAGGATTATATTTTTCATCATATAGTCCAAATCTTTAAATGCTTAGTCATAATATAACTTTATTATTGTTGAATTAACAAAAAACAACTAATTTCTAATCCAATATTAATATTCTTGTATGAATAAAAAATGATAATATTAAAAAATAAATATCAATGATGTTGAAAAGTATAAATATGTATAGTATACGAGTATAATCTTAAAACTAGTCGTGAATGAACTCGTGTCTTAAGCCAAATTGCTGTAACATCCCATACCGTAATTAAATATTGGAGGAATATTAAATGCTTTTAAATAAATTATTTTTTTAAATACTGTAACTTATATATGTTTGCAGAAAATAAAATAAACAAAACTTAATCAATCGGCATTGTTTAATATTTATATGAATTATATAAGCTGATTGCAAGTTAAAATTTATTATTTTGAGTATATTATTGAGCTTTAGAACTTTAGCTAAAAACAATTAATATTTGATTTATTTTCGATATTCAAAAAAAAAATTCCAAAAGCAGTGTTCTGTCAACACAAGCAGAAAATTTTTTTAATCATTCAATTCGGATGCTTATTTCTCTCAATAACTGCCATTTTTTCGTATATTTAGCTCAGTATCTTCAAAATGGCTGGGCCTGCCTTTGCGAAAAAACTAATAGCCACTTCTCCCCGTCATTACGAATTGAATGTTTTTTGGATCATTAATAGCGGATGCTCCGTTCTCTCAAAAACTCGATTACTATTTTCTGCACTCTTTGCTCTTTATCTCCGTAACTGCTTGACATGTCTTTGCCAAAAACTAATCAGCACATTTCCCTATCAATAGAAATCGAATGTTTTTTGAACCATTCAAATCGGTTGATCAGTGCGCCCGAAAACGTGGACGAAATATTGTATCCATACATACATACATACTCGTACACACACACACATCCATTTTTTCTAAGGTATGCCAAAATGTTCAGAAACCTTAAAAACGCGAAAAAATGTAAAAAAAATCAATTTCGATTTTTGGACGATTACAATAACTTACCCTATGGGAAGTTAATATGATAAATTTATAATAATGTTATGAAGTAATAGTTGAGCGTATGACTAATGGAATAGAAAAAATAATATAATTGAGTTTTATTTTTGATAGAATTTTACTGTCGAATCTCACGAGTTTGCCACTTACCCAAAAAACTGTAGATCTCTCTTTTTATTCTGACCAACAAATCCAAGTTCACAGTTCTATTTAAAATTATTTATGTATCTTTATATTTAGATTCAATTGAAACCTCAAGATCAGATAAAATACCCTACAATTTAAATCTTCCAACATTCTAAATAACTACATAAATACCTCTAATCTCAATTATCATCTTCACACTTCGGTATATCAAAAATCTCAGCAAATAGCGGTGGCAATCTTAAATTTGTCCAGTTTCCCCTAAACCAATCCAGATGCGAATTATGTCTCGATCCAAGAACTCTTAATTCTGGTAATTTGGCCTCTAAAATTGGCAAGAGAGGACTCAGTTCTCCGGGTCTGGTCCTGGATATCTGCACTCTTAGTGCTTCAGTGAGACGTTCACGTACCCTTGTGACTGATTTGTGGACGCTAATTCCGGCCCTGTCTGGTGCAATCAGAACTAATGATGAGAAAAGTCCTAGTTCAGTCTCACTTAGACCCAGGGCATTCAGGGAATTGGTGAAACGAAGCAGGGCCGTGACAAACTCGTTCTGAAAATATAATAAACTAAATAAAATGAATTAAATAAATAATATAGATAATGATAGAAAACCTTGTTAAAAAAATAATAATTAAATAAAAAAATGTAAAATATATGCGCCCAACGTGGGGCTCGAACCCACGACCCTGAGATTAAGAGTCTCATGCTCTACCGACTGAGCTAGCCGGGCTTGGAAGAAGGAGACCTCTAGACATTAGAGTATCTTCATAAGATTGAATTATCCTTATTATCCTTAAAAACTTCTAAGGCCTATAATATAGGGTCCGCCAAATAATTTTATTTTTATTTGAAAAACTACTGAATATTTTTTCAAATTTCTTTTTTTATTTGACAGTACAATCCTTTCATAATGAAATTAATTCGGTTAATAATTTCAATCAAAAATGAAGAAAAAAAGCCTCGGCTGACCGTTGCAAAAAAAATGAAAAATGTTAGATAGCATACCCTATATATTATAATGTTCTATTAGACCCTGAACTTTGTAATTATGAGAAGTATCATTAAAACCGTCAAAAGAATTAATCCGAGTGGTTTTTAAGGGGAGGAGGGTTCGACAAAAAATCACGAAATATGTAGAGGAGAGAGGGGTATAGTAAGATATCACGTGTATTTATTTTTACCTGATTTTTTTTAAAAACAAATCCAAACATTTTCAAAAAAAAAAATTACATTTCTTTCTCGTAACTAAATGCACATGATGCTTGGAGGGGGAGACGGAGTAATTTTGAATATCACCGCGTATCGCCAAGGGGGGGGGGGTCCAAAAATCGTTAAAAATCGATCACGTGATTAATGGACGCCTCTTAATCAGGACGATTCCTAAATAATCAGTCTTTGAATTTCCAAATTCGATATAGGAAATTTGGCAAAAACGATGGCGAAAAATTTTGCTAATATAATAATTATCGGCCAATTATCGACTAAATCAATTAACGCAATTTCTTATGAAGTTCATCATAAAGCAGTAAAATTTTTGAAATCAATGCAGCCGAGTTTGAGAAAATGCCAAGGTCAATTTTAGAACTTGAAAATCAAAAAAAAGTTAGAAATTCGGTAAAAACAAATTTCTCTTTCGGAGTATTATTATAACGACTTATTAATTGAAGCCAACATGGTTTAGTTATTATTAATAAGTTATTTTCAAATACAGATAAAATAAGTAAATTAGTAAATAAATTGTGTTATTTTCTGGAAATAATTTATACTAGATGAGGAACGCCGTAAGGTCCTGTGGCGCAACGGATAACGCGTCTGACTACGGATCAGAAGATTCCAGGTTCGAATCCTGGCAGGATCGTTAATATTTTGCCAATTATTATATAAAAATATATATATAGATAATACAGTTTCACATAAATTATATAATCCTAATAAAATGTATCTTTCAATTTTTATCAATTTCAAATGAACAATATTAGTTTCATTGAACGTTTTCTTGCTTTAATAAAATTATCATCATAAAAGTATATTTTTAAATTTAATATAATTTAACAAAATCGTGCTCATGTATTTTTTAGCCATAAACAAACTAGTTGTACTAACATTACTAATAGTATCAATAAAAATTACCGAACGAAACTTTGTGAACTGATTAAATTCGCATTATCATTTTAAATGCATACATGAGGTCAAATAATTTTGATACTCTTGATTTTGCAACGATTGCAATATTTTTCGTAGAAGTATATATTTGAATAAAATCTCGATTTTAACAAACGTCAAAAAAACTACTCATATTCTCAAACTTTGACTATTATTTAAAATTAAACGATTTGTCGTAAGGCCTTAATATTTCAGTAAATTCTATAAGACCATGGTATATATCGCCAAAAAAAGTATCATAAAAGTCGGCTTAATTTTTTTTTCAACATTTAATTACAAGAAAACGTCTCGGTAGATTTTCCCCTAAACTAATTAGAATCATTCCGAACTAATATCTTTCGAACTGTTTTTGATTTTTTAAAATCGATTCGGTATTATGAGCTCAAATGTGGACGAAAAGTTTAACACTTCTTCCCAAATTACAAAAAAACGGCTCGACCGATCGTCGCACAAAACTGAGCAACGATAATCCTCATTGAGATATATCAAATGGGTTTTAAATGATCGCAAAATCTTTTTATATAGATGAATCTAATAAATATTATGCACTTACATCATAAATAATTTCTAACTGTTGCCTCGTGAAATATGTTCCATCATCAAACATCAATGCAGAATCTGAAGTCGTTCTTGAAACGTGAGACAACCACACCTAGAAAGTTACAAAATGTAATTAATAAAACATTTAACATGCTATTCAAAATTAAATACGTATTTCTTTTTATTAAACAAGAATAAATTTTGAATGTGGGATCTGAATCAGAGTATTTATATTTTATTTCTAGTTACTGAAATTTTAACCTACCTCAAAAAATCCAAGTTTGATAAGTATCAGCTGATCGTCCTGCATGAGATCACAAAACCCAGGGACTCTTTTGGCAAATTCCACTACTCTCTGCACAGCTGGCGTCATCCTGGATGCAAATTGCTGCCATAACCATACACGCTGATGAAGTAAAATTGCTTCTGAACTAGTTGGTGCAGTCTGGGAAAAAGATAAAATATTAAAATAAACTAGAAAAATTACAGCTTAGTTTATAACTAAAACTACTCCCGAGTATTGAAATATATAAAACTTTAAATTACCTCACATTCTTCCGAAATTGTGCTGGCTTGACCCACAGGCCTTTTGACCAAGGTCCTAATCGTTTCTTCGGTGTAACTACAATGGGTCCTGTGAGCTTGACCAACGCAAGCTATAATATCGTATGGGGATGGTTCGGAGGTACAACTTAGGAGAACTTCTGTTTCTTGTATCTGTAATACAGAAAAGTTTAGCAATTTAAAAACATAATTGGGTAAATGAATCGCAAAAAGGTAAAATAGAAAAAATAATTGTATTCTGTAATTTCTAGTAAATCATCATGCTAATTTCAGTGAGAAATTGGAAATATGACTTTATTTGTTCAGAACAAATATTTAACCTAAATGGTAAATTGATACCCTGTAATTAAAATAAAATTTATTAATATTCTCCTTTGTTAACTCAGGTTGTTGGGTTATAATTTTACCATTGCAGCTGTGGACTGTATTAAACACTGATTTGTTTGTATATTATGTATTTGTTGCAGTTCTTATTACAATCACTGATTTGTTACTAAGATATAAGTGAAGAAAATATATTTATTTTTATTATTTATTATACATGCTTTTTCGCGGACTTTACTTTTATAAGTGAACAAATAGTCCTATCAAATTCTCCGCTACCCCCTCTATCAGGGGTAGCAACCATCCCTTGTAAAAGCTTAATGCCATGAAGATTGTCACCTTCATGGCTAACATAATAAAAGTGAAAATTATACTTCTCTAAAATTCTAATTACTAACCTGTGTATTTTGGTCATCCGGAGGCGAAGTCAAAGATCTCGGGGGCGTCAAACTTGGGGGCGCAACTACTATGGAGCCCCTACTCGTCTCATCGACAATTTGTTGGCAAACATCTCTCGAACGCTTAGGAACGCGTCCGTACCTAACAGCTGTAAAATAGAAAAAATATAAATTAATTAAATACAATTATTACTTTGTTTCGAAACATTCATGAATAAATCGGCGTAAACCAAATATGATGATTCAGCAAATTGCCAGTTGTTTTGAAATATGTAGAAACGATAAGTTAGTATCCTATGAATATCGAAGAATTTCTAATTAAGAACTAACTAAATTACTAATTAACTAAACCATTACTCTAGCAATAAATCAAATACATTCAATATTAAGTAGTAAACTGTTATGTGGCAAGCATTAACTTATCTCATTTACACGAAAAACAAATTATATACATTTTCCAATTAGATAGAAATAAATTAATGTTCAACCATTTCTTTACAAATAACTTGTTTGTAAATGTTGATGTACTTAAACAAACTTGAGTCAATGATATATTGTGGTAATAACTTTAGATTGAATTTGATATTATTAATTATATAAAAAAAAATACGATAGAAGAACATATATTGCTTGGTGGTGGTTTCGTTTTTGACTGATTTTTTTTATTTATTCGAGTAAAAATTTTGTATAGTACATCAACAGAAATAAAATTTAAGGTCAGGTACTTCGAAATAAAATACGATCCTGCCAGGATTCGAACCTGGAATCTTCTGATCCGTAGTCAGACGCGTTATCCGTTGCGCCACAGGACCACATGAAGATAACATCACTTTCACAAGCACAAATTTATAAAGCTATGTCTTTTACCTGTGGTTCCCAAACTATTGGTTCTGCATTTACTCGTTCTTTTTTTAAATAAATGTTTGCAACCTTTTTTATTTTTCTAAGTTTCAGAAATACTCAACTAAATGCTTTCGGACCCTCAAACGTAACCCTAGAATATTATGTTCAATCAGACCCTGAACCTTGTAAATATGCAAAGTATCATTAAAATCGTCAAAAGAAATTTTCAACAAAATCTAATCAAGACAATTCCTAACTAATCAGTTTTTGAATTTTCAAAATCGATATAGGAAATTTAGAAGACGATGGCAAAAAAAATTTGCTAACATGATAATTATTGGCTAATAATCAAGTAAATCTAATTAACGTAATTTCTTATGAAGTTTCATCATAAGGCTTTTAAATTTTTGAAATCGATGCAACCGAATTTGAGAAAATTTACACACACACGAATTTATAAAGGTATGTCTTATAGCTGAAGTTCACAACTTATTTGTACTATATTTCATCGCATTTTTTTAAATGTTTGCAACCTCTTTCATTTTTCTAACAATCTAGTTTCAGAAATACTCAACTGATACTATAATTTATTTAACTACTGAACAAAAATATTTATTAAATTTATATAAAAATTCTTGCGATTTGCGATTCGCTTGCATTACTATAAATATTTCAATTAAATTAATAAAATTAAAAGCTTTCTTTGCCTAGCTAGCTTTTCTTTCAATTAAATTTCTAATATAAACAATTATTTATATATTGATGTGTTTGTTTTTTTAAAAATAACGAAGGACAGAAAAGATTATAATCAAGCCATGTAAAATTGCACTATTTTATAATATTTTAAAACCTGTTTTTTAATATAAATATTTAAAAAATATATGTTTTACAACAAGGCTCCGGCGAGATTCGAACTCGCGATCTCCTGTTTACTAGACAGGCGCTTTAACCAACTAAGCCACGGCGCCACATAGAAACCGCTCACAAACGCAAGTCACGTTCTATTTGCATTTAAAATTTATTCGAATTTACAGAATTAATTATATGAAATATATTATTTGTTTAATGATGTTTTATCGAACACAAATCAAAGTAAATAAATCGACATTTACATGATACATAATGTATAATCAGCTGGAGTGATTGTGGAGAAAATCGAAACAGATGGAGAGGTTATACATATCCCATATGGTCTAGTGGCTAGGATACCTGGCTTTCACCCAGGAGGCTCGGGTTCGATTCCCGGTATGGGAAATATTTTAGATTTTGAACAACAAATTTAGTTGGCAATATAACGTAAATAATAGTTTAATGCACTAGCTTTGATTTGAAGATTTTACTGTGAACGAAATCTGTTTTGCAAACAGATTTCGTAACATTAGTTATAAAACATAATGAAATGAAAATTTTAGCAACAAATTTAAATTGACAAGTAATTTTACATAACTACATTAAGGAGCCGATTCTGCCGTAAAATAGACCAATGTTATGGCAAGGCTATGTTACGTAGAACTTTTCATATAAAAAGGGGCTACTAGCATGAATAAAATTGTAACAGTATGTGTATGTGTGTATATGATATCGTATTCAAAATTCACGTATTATAAAATACGTATGAAATAAATTTACACGATGGATGCGAAAGAGGATTGACAAGAATGTAAACGAAACAGAAGAATTATAGGGGTCCTTCCGGACCCTCCAAAAATTGCCTTAGCCCACGGTATTTCACGTGGTCTCGGCGGGGTATTGGTAAAAGTTTTCAACTAGCAATAATCGCACCTCGGATGAACCTCATTGGTTACGATATCGCCACTGCGCAAAGCTGAAGAATCCGACAGGATTAAGGAATTATATCCTTACATGGGCGGGATAGCACAGCGAGTGTTAAGGACCCTTAAGGTCGTGTTCGAAAGTTGATGGCGCCAATGCGCCATCTATACAATTTAAATAAACACTTTCTTATTGCAATTTCATAAGTTTTAACGATATTACACAATAAATTAAATTTCAAGTAATAAAATTAATGTGTTATATAAGATAAGAGATATTTTATCCTAAGCAAAAACGTAAAATGGTTTATGTACTTGTCACTAGTAATTATGCATATATGTAATAACAAATGTAACTCAAGCTAATTTACATCACATGGCGGAAAATAAAATTAAATCAATTTCACGAGTTTGAACGCTAATAACTTATTATATAAAAAGAAAATTGAAAATTAATGATAAATTGTTTTACTCATATTAGAGAATTACTGAATCTTTATTGAATGCAACTATTTTTTTCGGCTGGAGACTTCATGTAGTACCAAAAAAAAATCTGGTCCACCCATTGTCTATAAGGAATGTCTATAAATTTACTACATAATATATTGTTACTTGTTGCAACGTGCTTGACATATCTGTTAAAGTTATTTCATTTACGTACGATCTAACATAGAGTTAGAAAGATTGTTCTACCAATTGCTATAATTTACTGGAAATATTATGTAAGAATAATTGGGGTCCTTTCGGACCCTCCAAAAATTGCCATAGCCCACGGTATTTCACGTGGTCTCAGCGGGGTATTGGTAAAAGTTTTCAACTAGCAATAATCGCACCTCGGATGAACCTCATTGGTTACGATATCGCCACTGCGCAAAGCTAGTGAACAGTAATAATAATAATAATAAATAAATATATTTCATTGAATATATATGTGTACATAATATTTCTCATTTCGGATTTTTACCCATAGGTATATCATCCTTCATATTTGTTCTATCAATACAATAATAAGTATTTTCAGATATACAAGTTGTGACATAATTCTGTGACAAAAAAGAGGAAAGAAAATTTATTCCCCAAAAAAAAATCACTTAGCAATATTTATAATAACAATTAATAACTCAAAAAGGAGAAAAACAAAATAAAATATTTATTCACTTTATGGGAGAATATTTGCGTCGAGCCAAGTTTCATTTACCGCTATATGGGTCGATCAGTATATATTTTGGCATGGCTTGATTGCCATACCAAATATCGTCTCTTGTGTATTGGCCGAGGCCCGCGATGTTAATATTAGGATGATCCCCACATTTTAGGTAAAAATTTTTAGTAAGCTTTTTCATGTAGTCAAGTATTGTCGGTACGTCAGTCTGTTTGTGTATGTATTTTGAAGAGTAGTAATGTCTAGTCAGTGGGTCCCTTATTTTGTTAAGTACTATTCGTAGTGTCTTATTTTGTAATGTCTGTAGTTTCTGTAAGTTAGTCTTAGTCGTCGCGTTCCATGCAGGAGCGGCGTATGTCAGTAGTGGTCTTATTAGTGTCAAGTAAAGTGTCCGCTTGTTTTGCACGCTTAGCGGGCTGTTCTGGTTCAAGAGAGGTCTCAGTAGATTCAACATCCCGTAAGCCTGTCCAATTTTTGTATTAATATGTTTTGTGAAGCTGAGTCTATGGTCCAGGGTCACACCAAGATATTTGACATCCTTCGACCACTCAACTCACAGTCCAATACTTTAATTTTGTCCAAGTCAGTCAGTCTAGTTATGGCATTTCGGCTTTTTGTAAATAAAATTGCCTCCGTCTTTTGCGGATTGATTTTTATCTGCCATTTGTCAGTATATTCGATCAGCTTGTCTATGTGTGTCTGTATCTTTGTAGTCAGTAGCGTCGGTGATCGTGATGATTTGTATATGGCAGTGTCGTCAGCAAACGTCAGTAACGTTGTGTCGGCGTCAGTGGGTATGTCGTGAATGTAGACGTTAAACAAGGACGGTCCCAGGATCGAGCCCTGCGGTACTCCCGCCGTCACTTGTTTAACCGTCGAAAGTCCGTTGTCTACTTGTACAGTGAAGTTACGGTCTGAGAGGTATGAGTGTAAAGTTCTCGTTATGTACGGTGGAAAGTTGAGTTGGATAAGTTTATGTACAAGTCCGTCCATCCAGATGGTGTCAAACGCCTTCTCAAAGTCGAGTAACACCAATCCGGTATGGTTTCGTCTGTTGAAGTTGAGTACTGTATTTTCTATGAGTTTTGTCAGTGGGTGTAGTGTAGAGTGTCGTTCTTTGAATCCGTATTGTGTGTCAGGTATAATTTTGTTGTGTCTTATGTGTTTGTTAAGTCTTTTGAGTAGTACCTTTTCGGCTACCTTACTCATTGTGTTGAGGAGGCTGATCGGTCTGTAGTTCTGTGGCATGTCTGGCTGTTTCCTTGGCTTCACTATTGGAAATATGATGGAGGTTTTCCAAGAAGCGGGGAAGCAGCCTTTTGTCATTAGTCTATTTATTATGCGCGTAAGTAAAATGTAGGCGTTCGTCGGCAGTTGTTTAAGTATTATGTTTTGTAGTCCGTCCGGTCCTGGTGCTTTCCTGTTCGGTAATTTTTTAACTATTGTCTTTATTTCGGAAACTGTGGCAGGGTCTATTCGTAAGTCTTTGTCCCTGTGGAGGTCAGTGAAGTTTTGAATTGTCTCGTGTACGTCTTGTTTCAGGTCTGCGTTTGACATATTGGCATTTTGTTATGGATGTTCTCAAAGTTTTTTGCCAATATTTCCGCCTTGTCTGCTGGTGTCGTTGCGTAATTGTTGTCTGTTAATTTGAGTGGAGGTATGGATGTTGGTTTCTGCGTCAGTCTTTTTGCTGTCTGCCAGATTTTGTGTGGGTCAGTATTTAAGTTCTCGAGTCTTTTGGTCCAAGTGTTGTTTCGGTGGTCACGTATATCATTGGAAATAATTTTGGTCAGTCTGTTCACATGTTCCTTGAGTAGTCTGTCACCGGTACGCTGCCACAGTTTCTTTGTGTGATTTTTAAGTTGTATTTTCAATAAAATGTGTTCTGGCAAGTCGTTGTCTGGTGTTGTTCTTGAGTCTAGTGTCGGTATAGTCTGTTGTACGGCGTCTGTGATTGTCAGTGTAAGGTGTGTTACAGCCTCCTCAATGTCTGCGTTGGTATCGATTGGCATTGTGTGTCGTGTGTTGTCTGTGATGATGTCTCTGAAAATTGGCCAGTTGGCTCTGGTGTAATCTAAAAATTTGCGTTTGGGAGTCTGGTCGACGTCTAGTCTGTCTGAAATGGTCATGAAAACTGGATTATGGTCGGAGTTAAAAAGTGTTCTTGTTATGGGTTCGGATGTTACGTGTAGATTTTTTGTCAATGCCAAATCGATCGTGCTGTGATGGTGTGTCTGTACGGTGGCGTATCTGGTCGGCGTGTCAGGATAGTGTAGTTGTGCGTCTGTGGTGTTGTGTTCAGTCAGGTATTCGTAAAGTCTGTTTCCGTTCGCGTTGTTAAAGTTACAGTTCCAAGATGTATGTTGTGCGTTAAAGTCTCCTGCCATAAGTACAAATCTGTTCGAGTCCAGTAGTCTTTGTAAGTCCGCATGTTCTAGTCCGCTTGCCGGGATGTAAATCGATATTATGGTTACTTTTTGACCTCTCTTGTATACATTAATAGCTGTTATTTCAGAACCGCCCGCTGTCAGGTTTGGCACTTGCTCGTGTCTGATGTTAGACTTGATCAAGATCGCAGTGCCTCCCCATCCGCGTGCTACCGTCTGTCTGTCGTTCCTGTAAACTTTGTAATTGTTGATATAGAGTCTGTCCGTAGGTTTTAAGTGTGTCTCGTTGATCAGTACTATGTCCAAATCGTATTTTGTTATCGTCTGTCTCAGTTCGTCCACGTTGTTTTTAAGTCCGTTAGAGTTAAAGTGCATTATGTGTAAGTCGCGCGTTTGGTTTATGGAGATGCTGTTAAAAAGTTAAGTATTGTTGTGTATTTTTCGTTATATGTCATGTTGGTGTTTAGTGATTTTGTCAGTTTGTAAAGCTCACTAAAAATTTGTTTTACCTGGGGATCTGCAAACAGCATCCTGATCTCGCCCATAGCAGCAAAAAGTCCCTCTGGTGTATTGAAATCTGGATCGGACTGGCTGCAGGCAGGCCGGGCTGGTGATTGTGATAGTTCATGCCGGATCTGTGATGATGATGATGCAGGCCGGATCGGTGATGTTGATGGTGTAGGCTCAGCCGGTAAAGGTGAGGACTGGATCATGTTTCGAAATGATGACCTTGGAACAGGGAGTTGAGGAAACGCTGATTTTGCATTTGGGCCAACATTGGTGTTATTTAATGCTGAAGAAAAACTCCTCGTCAGCGGCACTGGTGTTGGTGCTGGTCTGTATATTTGTCTTCTCCTGAGAGCATCACTTTCCTTTTTCTCCTTGTAGTTGAGAAGCGCACTGCACTTTGAGTAGTTTGCCGGGTGTTCGTTGCCACAGTTCACACACATCGGTGCCTCAGTTGGCAGTTTCTGGCACGCACCTGGTGCGTGCACATTAAGGCACTTTATACACCTGTACTTTAGGTCGCAGGTGTACGATGTATGGCCGAAGTTCAAGCATTTGTGGCACTGCAACGCTCTGTTCTGTGGTCTGTAGGTCTCCCAGGAGAAGATGTGTCCACCAATATTGGTTATCCGCTTCAGCTCCGCCATATCGTGGTCTTTGTCGACTAAAATTATGTATATTGGTAGTTTATGTTGACTACCGTCCGACTGTTTTCGTATTACTTGCACCACTTGTTTTACTTTAGCTCCTTTCTGTTGCAGTTCTTCGCGAACTTCTGCCTCAGTTATAGATGGATGGAGTCCCGTAATTGTTATTTTTTTCCCAGATTTTGTTCAAGGAGTAGGTGTAGAAGGGGTAATTGCATTCTCGCAATATCCTTTTAAATTGCTCGTGGTCAGTAATTGAATCGGTATAAATTTGTGTAAATTATTTTTTAGGAACTGGTACCTGAAATTGATCTTCGTTGTATCCCGGATATAGCGGATGGTTTTCAACTCTATTTCAGCTTTTACAATGATAGGCGGAATTTTCTCTTGCTTCATGTCTATTTTCTTCGATGGTGCTGCCTGTACGCCTGAAGTGGATGGCTGTGACCCGACATCAATTTTCTCGACCTCCTTGTTTTTGGCTTTCTTCCGCCGTTTGACCTTCTTATATTCCTCAAGCTCCCTGTCCGTGTCCATGTCAGTCCGATCAGATAGTGCATTGTATTTGTTTTTCAGGGTCTCGCTCGTTAATACTTCCATTTTCATTATTTTTAATTTCTTCCCAGGCGCCTGCCTGGGAATATTCTTGTATTCTTCAATATGCACAGCACTGATTTTAATAAAGTTAATCTAAAGACTTAGAAAAATTTAAATTTAGAAAAATTCACTTGCTAATGTGGCTTATCCTCTAACCATTAGCAACACCAATCCGGTGTTTGGAAAGAGGAGTCAGCAGAAGGCACGTTCACCTTATAATTTTGACAAGATATTAAATATCTTGGGAGAATTACACCCGATTGCTTTTAGAAAAGCACGATTTTAAATCGATATCGGGTGAATTCCAGACTTTATACTTTACACAAAAATCTAATGACATTCACTAGCTAGTGAACAGGTAAGGGCGAGTTTATTATATCCTAAGACTGACAGTACAATGCAGCGTGTGTTACGGACCCTACGACCCTAACATGCAAATGCTTACCGCCATCTTACCGCCTTATTCCAAATTGAACAAAAAAAAAAAAAAAATAAAGTGGAATCAATAATCTGCTCAACTTTATATACACAGATTTGTTTTCTGAAGTTCATACAAATTATAAACAAATTTTTCAATAATATTTGAAATACATATATAGCAAATCGGATTTGCTCCTTAAAACATAAACTCCTCCTTCGAAATGATGAGTGGTTATAAGTTTAAACGTACTTTTCAAAGTGATATACAGTAGAACCTCGATTATCCGGACCTCCATTATACGGATTTGCGATTATCCGGACTACCAACCGCGACAGAGTTAAATGTATGTACATACCTACAATTAGAATTTTTGCACGATTTATGCTGCAGTTTAGTATATGTATGTAATATAATCTAAGAAATTATATATGTGTATATACATAAGGAAATGTTAATTTCTTATTAAATATTGATTTTTATTGATGTATGTGTTTGTTATTCTTCATACATTAGATTATCCGGATTTTCGATTATCCGGATGCCTATCTACAACAATTAGCCCGGTTAATCGAGGTTCTACTGTATCTTTAAAACAGTGGATCTGCAGGAAAAAAGTACTGAAACATTTTTTGTAGATAATTTTATGCTATACAATTCTATCTCGTATAATTTTACGCTATACAATTCAATGAGGACTTATGAGATTTCTTTTATATTTGTATTTCAAACAGTTTTACGAAGTTATAGATCATTATAAATTATTGTAACCTTCACCCTGATTTTTGGTTTGAATTGACCGGGCTAAATAACTCTTGGGGAAGTTGAGGAACCAACAGACACTGATAATAAAAAAATGCGTATATCTTATTCAAATTATGAATAAAGAAGTTTGGTTGATGTAATAATTTATCATAAGGTTAACAATCTAAATAATAAAAAAATACTTACAATCTCTGCTCATCCCGACTTGCAAGCACTTTTTAAAACGGCAATATTGACAACGATTTCTATTTAATCGAATCACAAGACACTTGCCGTCTCTTAAGCAACGATATTCTATCTGTTTTTGAATGCTCCTACGAAAAAATCCCTGAAATTAAAAAAAATATAATTAATTATTCACATTATAACACAACTTTATAAATGCTAATGATGATTTCGGATAAACAGTGAGGATGATTACAAATCCGACCTGTAATTGGTATAACGCACTTTATAATGCTAGCCAAAAATTTTAATGTTATCTGATATAAAAAATTATTTGAGTATCCCTTCAATGTATGAATTGCGAAATATCAGTACAAAGAGAAAGAAAAAACAAATTCAAAATAAATTGGTAAAATAGTATCAAGATATCAATGCTCCTAAAAGTAAAAGTAAATTAAAAATCAATTGATACTAACCTTACAACCTTCACAACTCGTTACACCGTAATGATAACCTGAGGCCTTATCTCCGCAAACTTTACAAGGTACAAATGATTTTGTTGGTCCCACGCAATTACCTCCTGTTTCTGCAGATGAAAATTGTTCTGAAAAGTTAAGAATGGTACATAGAATGCAGATATTTTTAATCTTGCAGAGAATTTGCAATTATTTTTTTATGACGTTATAAATTTATCCAACTGGAACTATCTGAAGCAAGAGCGACAACAATTGCTAAAATATAAAAAGTATTACACGAGTACTATAAGAGCAATTATTTTATTTGCTTTTAATAAAGGATACTTTTGCAAAAATATGAAATAAAACTTCAAAAATTATAGTTTTATATTTGATTAAGTTTTTAATTGTGCAGCTAAATTAGAAATAAGACAAATATTAATGTAAATAGATTATTAAATACTAAATAACAAAAATGATACTAAATACAAGTTATTTAACGTAAATATCAATCAGAATTTGAGTGCGGTAAATATAGTACTTTAACAAATATATGTGTTTATAAAGACTATCATTAATGGCAGCCACTTATTTATTTTACGATTAAAATCAGTACTATGTTGGGGCCCTTTTCTCAAAATACCTTATATAAAGCAGAAAACATTAGATATGATAAAATTATTTTTTCTTGGCTTATCAAAACCAGTGGTCAAGCAGTTTTTTTAAACATTGCCCCTAAATATTTTTGTGTAAATTGATATTACTCATAGCAAAGAAAATCGCTTCTTTTGAAAATTTTGAAAAGAAAACATTAACTAAAAATTTAATTTAAACATCATTTATTCAAGTAAGTTATTTAACTAACTAATACTACTCCCATGCTTATAAAACAGCCAATTAAAAATATATTTTTTACCCACAAAAATTTCATTTTCACCAGGATTGATTTACCCTGGTCCCCAATCGCTGATCTATACCATATTAAGAAACTAGGATTCTTAAATTTAACTGAATAATTATACTCTCTTATAATAACTATGAAATTTCCTTGCAAAATGTGCAGTTCTTTACAGTCATTATAACAATAGTCAAGTCAAGTCAAAAACATATATATTTCAATAAATATAGGTATGTACATTACATTTTATAACATGGTTTTTTATCCGTAGGTATAGTATCCATCATTGGATATGATTTTGCAAACAATAATTAATTCTGAATGAATGGTATAGTACTGTAAATAGTACAATACTGATAAAATGAATAGTACAATACTGATAAAATATTATGAGTGAGTAATATGATACTATATTATGAGTATAGGTCAAAATATATGTATAATAAAAAATTAGTCTTCCGGACTAACTACTTTCGGATCCTACATAAATTGCCATACATAGTAAAACACAAATAAAAGTAGTAATATTTTTTGGAAAGTTTTATCCCTTTTTATCGCACATTTATATATTGAAGTAGTGGTAAATAGTAATCAAAAGTAAAATATGTAAGAGCAGGATCATGACAAAGTTGATTCACAGCATATTATATTTCTTGTATAGATAATGAAACTGATATGAAATGAAAAAAAATCATACCACGGAGATAATGAATAATGTACCAACAAATTCACACATCTAAATAAGACTAAAGAATTTATTGGGGTCCTTTCGGACCCTCCAAAAATTGCCATAGCCCACGGTATTTCACGTGGTCTCAGCGGGGTATTGGTAAAAGTTTTCAACTAGCAATAATCGCACCTCGGATGAACCTCATTGGTTACGATATCGCCACTGCGCAAAGCTGAAGAATCCGACAGGATTAAGGAATTATATCCTTAATTGGGCAGGATAGCACAGCGAGTGTTAAGGACCCTTAAGGTCGTGTTCGAAAGTTGATGGCGCCAATGCGCCATCTATGCAATTTAAATAAACACTTTCTTATTTGTATTATTTGCAATTTCATAAGTTTTAACGATATTACACAATAAATTAGATTTCAAGTAATAAAATTAATGTGTTATATCAGATAAGAGATATTTTATCCTAAGCAAAAACGTAAAATGGTTTATGATACTTGTCACTAATAATTATGCATATACGTAATAACAAATGTAACTCAAGCTAATTTACATCACACGACGGAAAATAAACTTAAATCAATTTCACGACTTTGAATGCTACTATCTTATTATATAAAAAGAAAATGGAAAATTAATGATAAATTATTCTGACTCATATTAGGGAAGTCCTAAATCTTTATTGAATGCAACCATTTTTTCGGCTGGAGACTTCACGTAGTCCAAAGAAAATAAATTTCTGGTCCACCCATTGTCTGTAAGGAATGTCTATAAATTTACTATTAATATATTGTTACTTGTTGGAGTGCATGATTGTTAAAATAGCTAAAATTAACGACCCATGTTGCATATTTCGTGTTAATGTTGCATGCCTCAAGGAATTTTCTACCGAGTTATTTTCTTTACCGGTTTAAATGGAAAATTACAGAACCGGCATCAGCCGTATCATACTTCCTAGTAATAAAGCATTCTTAAATGTGTTTGAGAAAACATATTGGCGTGTTTTTATTTATAATCCCGATGATAAATTATTTGCAAAGTGCAAATAAAAAAAATTAATTTGCAAAAAAAAATGTTGTCATGTAATCAGGCAAATAAATTTATCGAGTTAATATGTACTCATAAAAGAGGACATATAATGATATATTTTATAGAATTAGAAAGCAACTTCTATATTCCTCATACGCGTTTCTTAACAAAATTAGATACTCAAAGCTCGTTAATGATCTGTGGATTAAAATTATTCATCTTACCATAACTCTATAATCAATAGTTAAACTTATAAGAAAACTAAGTATTAATTTCTTGTACTTCCTAGACTATGTCTGATTATACAAGTGTCTAAGAGCATATCAAATGCACATTGAAATTATGATATACTGCAAATTGCTTTCGCTATTGCACGTTATCAGTGAGAAGATTACTTAATTTGCATTTAATATTTGCAAATGTTAATGTATAATCAGCTGGAGTGATTGCGGAGAAAATTTGAATAGATTGAGAGTTTATGCATATCCCATATGGTCTAGTGGCTAGGATACCTGGCTTTCACCCAGGAGGCTCGGGTTCGATTCCCGGTATGGGAATTATTTTGAATATTAAGAAAAATGACGAATTTATATTAAAGACGTGAAAAAAATTATTCATGGAAAGAGTGAAAGTCTTTCTCCAACGTCCCATATGGTCTAGTGGCTAGGATACCTGGCTTTCACCCAGGAGGCTCGGGTTCGATTCCCGGTATGGGAAATATTTTAAATATTAAACAGACTAGCATTGATTATTAACTAATTAGCTCATTTCTTTAATTTTACAAATTTCCCAGTGTGGCCATTTTAATTTTTCGTTATAAAATGGTATATGCGGATAAATAATACTAATTATTTTAGCCTAATTAATAGTAGCCTAGCTTATTATCCTAGCTTAAATTATAGAAAAAAATATTAATCTAATACAAACCAAATTTATTGCCATTGGCTAAAGCTTCACTAATACTTTGAATTCCATGTTCAAAATTTTATTTACAACGCAATGTGATCTACATGCGCATAAAGAATAAAATAAGGATTCTTACAAACTCTCGAAAATTTACCATAGCCCAGGGTATTTTACTCAAACTGTATTAATTATAATGATTGCAACCATAGATAACAACATAGTCTAAATTATAGAGAAATTTTTAATTCATATCTAAAACAAACCAAATTTATTGCCTTTGACTTAAGCTTCATGAATACTTTGAATTCCACGTTCACAATACTAGCTACAACACTACGTGAGCTATATGAATTATAAAACTAAATAATAGAATAATAAATTTTATAAGGATTCTTACAAACCCTCGAAAATTTGCCATAGGCAAGGGCATTTCGCTCAAACTGTATTAAATATAACGATTGCAACATAGAAATAATGAAAGTTAATTGATAATAGTTAAAATGTTAACAAAATTATAAATATTTTGAATGAATTAAAAAAAATCTTGTATAAACTGCACTAAAACGAACCAATTAAAACTAGTTGGTTTGGTATTTAGCCTTGAGGCAAGTTACATGAACTTCCCGATATGTTTAAATAATCGACATAATCAATAAAAAAAAATTTATGAGTCATTAAAAGTATTCAGAGTGGATTTATTACACATAATTGAAACGAACGAACACTTTGACTCGGAGTATTTTCTAAAAGCAAATTTTATATAATTGAACCAGTTTTCAGGACTTTAATGGTTTATTATGTTCAAGACCAAGTACTCTATCATTATACCAAGTAAATAGTCTAATTTTAATTTTAACAAATCTCAAAAAAACTACTCATTTTCTCAAACTTTGATGAATTTTTAAAATCAAACTATTTGTCGTAAGGTCGTAATATTTCAGTAAGATCTATAAGACCATGGTATATATCACTAAAAAAAAAAATCCATAAAAATCGGCTTAAATTTTTTTTTCAACAGTTAATTACAAGAAAACGGCTCGGTAGATTTTCACCTAAAACTAATCAGTACCATTCCCAACTAATATCTTTCGAACAGTTCTTGATTTTTCAAAATCGGTTCGGTAGGATGAGCTTAATGTGGACGAAAAGTTTAACACTTTTTTTCAAATTATAAAGAAACGGCTTGGCAGATCGTCGCACAAAACTGACAAACGATAGTCCTCAACGAAATACATCAAATGTCTTTTAAATTTCTGAAATCGGTGAAGACGTTTTTGAGAAAACGTCGATCAAAGATTTCATTTTGACAAATGTCAATAAAACGATACCAATTTTTGCAAACTTTGACGAATTTTTAAAGCTAAACGAGTTGTCGTAGGGCCGTAATATTTTAGTATGACCTAGAAAACTATGATATCTAACGTCAAAAAAAAAATCATAAAAATCGTCGAAATTTTTTTTTTAAAAACTTTATTACAAGAAAACGGCCCGGCCGATCTTTACCAAAAACTAATCAGCACGATTCTCAACCAATATCTATCGAATGGTTTTTGAATTTTCAGAATCGATTCAGAATTGCGAGCTAAAACGTGGACGAAATTTTTTTCACTTTTCTGCAATTTACAAAGAAACTGCCCGGCCGATCGCCGCACAAAACTCAGAAACGATAGTCCTCATCGAAATACATCGAATGGCTTTTAAATTTTTGAAATCGGTCCAGCCGTTTTCGAGAAAACGTCGATTTACGGCAAAAAATCTGTTCACATACACGCACACACACACATACACACACACACACACATACTTTTTCCAAATTTGGTCTCATTCGATTCAGAATGGCTTGAAACGTCGAGAAAACATAAAATTAGCGAATCGGATTTTTTGATGAAAACAAACTTCTCCTTCGAGAAGTTAAAAATGTCATTTGGGGGTCAAAAATGTTTATTGGATATATGTACA